CCTGACACAACATTTATTAAGTCTTGATAGTGAACTCAGGAGTATAAACATGTTTCTCCATGCTTTTCTATATACCTGAAATGTTTCCTAATTTAATTTAGAAGATCTAATCGAATTCTTTCATGTTACATAAATCAGTAAATGGCAAAGATAGGACTAGATCCCAGATTGTTAGCCTCTCAGTTTAATATTCTTTTTATCCTGACAAGGAAAAAAGTATAATTTATAATAAAATTCAAAGAGAAAGTCTTACCCTTAAATTTGTTCATTACATTCATGTTTCGAAGAATTCTTCTAGGACTGTTTGCTGCAAAACAAGCTGCCTTTTCATATTCACCAAGTGAGATTAATTCATTGAACCTAGAACCATTGCATTTTATAGGTACACACACAAAAAAAGAAAACTGATTAAAAATATGCAACACAAACTAAAATAGTGGCACAGTATAAAAAAAAATACCAATTCTAATAAACTATAACTAGATTCATCCACACTGTAAGATGTTCATTAAAATCTTCAATATTCTGGGAGGTGTTCTGCCTTAGTATATCCTCTTACCTTCCAGCTGACATTGAACCTCCTGCTCTTATACTTTATTTCTAGAGTGACACCCAAATAAAGTCACAGAGGAGAGAAATTAAAACGTCAGTCTACAATGAGCTCAGAATTTTTCTATTGAAAAATTCTATTAAAAATTTTTCTATTGAAAAAACAACACAGTGTCACCTTCATGCACTTTCTGTACCATAACACAAAGCAAATCAACAATTATCTTTGTATTTCCCTTTCTTCTTTTAAAAAAAAAGGGAATTTTTTTGTTTGTACCAGGAATCGAACTCAGGGCCTTGCACTTGCTGGGCAGGTGCTGTGTCACTGAGCTACAGCCCTGGCCCTTATTATATTATCTCAAGATGAAAAGGAGTGTCGGGGGGGAAAAAAAGGCAATCTGCTGAGAAACCACCTAAAAGCAATATTAGCTGCATACAAAGGCAGCAAAACTAGAGATCAGGAAGTCTCCTCACCAGCCTATGTTGCTCTGCCAGGCATCAGACTCCCAATGAACTAACAGACTAACGAGCACAAGGAGGAGAGTAATAATAGTTATAGTCATTTAAGCCTCTGCTCTTCTTCCTATAGCAACAGGTCTTCAAAAGAGCTCCAACCTCAGGACTGATAAAAGTATGGCAAACAGGCTTTACAAAGTATTACAAACGAATGTGGAACCCAGAGAGGAGCAGGAGCCACTAACATAATATGAAGCAAAATATGTAAAACTTCCCTCCTCAACAAGGGTTTTCTGTCATACCAGAGCTGACAGAATTAAAGGAAGCACCACAAGGAAGCCTTGTAAGGAAACAACACAGTGTCACCTTCATGCACTTTCTGTACCATAACACAAAGCAAATCAACAGATGAAATGGTTTCAACATACAAAACCAGAGATTAGAGATTTAAAATGGGAAAGGCCAGCAGCAAATACAGCTTCTCCAGGCTGGAATCAAGACTCCTGGAAAACAAAGACAAAAATGAGCCCTAGAAATCAAGAAAGAGCTCTTCTGGTTTCTTCGGCTGTGGGCATTGTTTGCTCCCCAGCCAGGTGGTAGCAGTTGGAGACCAAGAGAGTCGAGAAGGCGGCAGCGGGCGAGAGGCATGGTCATGCCCAGTTATTACGAGGACAAGCCAGAGGGCAGCCGTGCGGGGTTTGAAAGAGGACCTGGGGGCATGTCTGCTGCAGTCGGACTGTGTGCTCCAGGAAAGAAAATCCCCTGGGGTGTTTAAAGGAAGGATACTACAGAGCTCTGAATTACACATTTTTTGAGTGTAAAAGATCAATGTTGGATGCCAGATCAAGATTCAGGGGAAGAAAAGAATATGGAAACCATTTTGCTGATGGCAAGATGAAAGCCAACAAAAGCTTTCACTGGTCATTAACATAGAAAATATTTTCTCTGTTTGGTTGGATCTGGTTTTCTCCACATAACACTGGAAGAAAACAGAAGAATTTTGTTTTTTAATCTCTATTAAGGGAAACGTTTCTCCTGCTCTACTTATTTTTGGAGGATCAATTTAGTTGAATAGTTTTGAGGACTATCGTAAAGTACAAGGAATGGTAAAGTTATTTTCAAATTTGACTCTTCAATCAAATTACAGGAAGCCACTGATGTGACTGACAGTCAGTAATGTGAAGCCTATCCAGACGAGGTTTATCAGAAAAGTTTAGGATAAAGCTTTTTCTTTTACCCAGTTTGGTTCGAAATAAACTGTTTGATTCTTGGGGGGAAGAAAAGGAATGAAGAAAGAGCTGAGCGAAAAACTAGTAACCATAAAGAGAACAGAGAAAGTGAAGATAATTCAGAGGAAAAAATGAAGCAGTCAGGAATGAACCATGGCTCCCTGGGAGGAAGTCCCTTCTCTGCAACACAAGGTAAGCCCAGATAAGGTTATCAACCCCAGGGAGATACAATGGACTCACCCCAAAAAGTCCATGGTTACTGTAAATATAATGTGGGATTTTACTCTGAAAGTGGCTCCTTCCGCACGGCAGGCTAGAGTTACAGAAGAAATTCACTGCAGCATCTGTCATACTTGGAAGTGATATAATCAGAAGCCATTTTGGGAAGGAACATATTGTTTAAGACAGAGCTACTCCAAGAATCACAAGGCACAAAATAACTACACCTCATGGTTTCTCAGTTCACTCTACTACAGTGACTGGGTGGGAGACAGCCACCAGAAACAGACTCAAATAAGTATCGGTCCAGTCACAGTTCTCTTGAAAAGTTTAAGCAGTAGCAAGCTCAGTTGTGAGGGACACATGCAATTCTCTGAGGGGGCTGGGTATGAAAGTGCTGACATTAATTCAAACAGACTGCTTGGCCCCCTTCACTGCCTACTTCCAGCAGAGAGCTCAGTAGTCTGCTTTTCTCATCAGCCAACATGATCAGGGATATGCCTTGGCTTGGACAAATGCCACATGCTGGGGTATACCAACAGAGGGGCCTCTGGTGCAAGGGAGGGACTTCATGAGCCCACAGGCCATAAAGCTAGATGGAGATAGCAGGGATTTGGGGCACAAAGAAAGGACGAACACTAAGAACTATGAATTGAATGCATTCCTAAGGCAGATACCATACAAACAGGGGTCTCACTATATAATTCAGGCTGGCCTTGAACTCATTATGTACTTGAGGCTGGCCTCGAACTTACAGCAATCCTCCTGCCTCAGCCTCCTGAGTGCTAGGATTACAGGCATGCCCATGTTTGGACATTATTAAGTTTTTGTTAACTTTTAGCTATTTGGTCAATCTATGCTGTTATTACTGAATTGTTTCCCATTGTTGATGGTGGGATAGTGGTTACTTTTAGTAGATATTTGCTGTATGTCAGTATTTGCTTTGTTGCTGTGTCTGTATTATTATTCTAGATCTCTTTTACATTGTTAAGGATGGTAGCTATTGTTGGTTCCTATGGTATTTCAATAATTAGTTTGTCTTTGACTCTATTACTATTGCTGATTTCTTTTCTATTGTTAATGGTGCCATCATTGTTGCTTTTAATTGATTTTTACAGTATGCCATCATCTAGTTTGTATCATTAGCATTACTGCAGTTCATTTTCTCTTCTCTGAGTGATGCTGGGGATCAAGGCCCTTGAATAAGTTTGGACACTAAGAAGACTCAATAATTATGCTGAATAAGTTGAAGAGGGGTATAAACACCAAAACATAATCAAACCCTAGGATACATCACAGGAAACCAGAGTCTAACTGAAGAGATCTCTATAATATTAACAGTTCCTCTACTTTAACTCATCTTCAACCCACAGCACACACACAAAAAAAATGTTAGAAAGCAAGGCAAAAAGATATCCTCTAAAACTCCCTAACTTCTCACAGACATTGAAGCAGAGGAAGCTATAGGCAAAGAATTCAAAAATCAAATGGTCAAAATATTTGATAAGCTGTGTGTGGTGGTGCATGCCTGTAATCCCAACACTCGAGAGGTGTTTTGGTTACTTTTCTGTTGTTGCTGAGACAAAATATCTGACACCCAGAATGAAGGAAGGAAAGGTTCATTTAGCTCACAGTCTGTGGAGGTTTCAGTCCATACTCAGCTGGCTCCAAGGCAGGGTGGCACATGGCAGAGGGCAACAGTTCATGGAGGCAGAAGATAGCAAAATCAAGACCAAAAGGGAGGAGTGGCAGCAAGCAGCCTCTTTCTCTCCCTCACACCTGCAAACTACCCACCCCAGGGCAGGTATAGCACTCACACCCGTGAATCAATCATAAACTCTAGAAGCCTGGCCTATGACTGCATGAAGCTTTGGGAGGACATCCAGAACTAAACTATAACAAGAGGCTAAGAGAGGAAGATTGCTGTGAGTTCAAGGCCAGCTTGAAATACATAGTGAGAACCTGTCCCAAAAAGAAAAAAAAAAAAATTTAAAAATGTCTGATGAGATGAAATACACATGCAAATGCATAAGATGTTTAATGAGTTCAAAGAAGATTTAATTAAATAGATAAGGGATTTCACTGATAAAATGTTCAATGAGCTTAAAGAAGAAACAAACTAACTGAGGTAAGAGGGACAAGACATGAATTATCAAATTGGAAAAGAATGAGAAAACAGGAAAAGAAGGCAAGCAGAGATAGATGTTATAAAAAAAAGTCAATGAAAAACACAGGTAGCATACTTGACCAATGTGAGGAAACAAAAGACGAAGTGGATAGAGTACATCATAAACTCAATGATAGGGGCTGGGGATTTAGCTCAGTGGCACAGCACCTGCCTGGCAAGCACAAGGTCATGAGTTTGATTCCTGGTACCAGAAAAAAAAAAAATTAAAAATTAAAAAAAAAAATAAACTCAATGATAGCCTAAAAATAATAAGACATCTGTGCAAGTTGGACCCAATAGCAGCTAGATGACTCAAAACAAACAAACAAAAATACCACCATCAGAATTATGGGAATAAAGGAAAAATCAGAAGATGACTCAAAAGGTATAAAAAGTTTATTCACCAAAAGCATAACAGGAAAAATTACCAAATCTAGGAGGAAAATTAATATTGAAGCACAAGAGGCATAAAGAGCACCAAATAGCCATGATCAGAAAAGAACCTCTCCACCACACATCATACTCGAAATTCCAGAAACTCGACAAGAAGAATACTAAAAGCTACTAGAGAAAAAGAGCAAGTAAGATACTAAGGCAAGCCCATGAGATTAACTCAAATCTTAAAGGCCAAGAGAGTTTACAGCAAAGTTTTTCATGCCCTAAAAGAAAACAACTATCTACCCCGCCTTTCATATCCTGCAAAATGAGCCTTCAAAATTGATAGAAAGCCAGGAAGGGTGGCGCACACCTATAATCCCAGCACGTGGGATGCTGAGGCAGGAGGATCATTGAGAATTCAAGACCAGCCTGGGCTACAAAGTGAGCTCAAGGCCAGCCTGAACTGCACAGCGAGACACTGTCTCAAAAGGAAAAAAAAAATTGACAGAGAAATAAAGAAGCAATACTTGACCACTAAACTAGCATTGCAGAAAATACTCAGAATCCTAAACAAGATAGCAATGCCATCAACACAAAGAGCCCAAAGGAAAGTATCATCTGGTTGGGAGAATAACTATACAAAAGGAAAAAATAGAGGAAATAGCACTGGCAAAATAATGCAGTCGTAGGATTCAATAAAAAAACACCTTACCAATAAATACTTTACCATGATAACTGTCAACATCAATGGTTTCAACTCCCCAATCAGAAGACACACACTGGCAGACTGGGTTAAAAAACAAAATGCAACCATATTTTGCCTACAGGAGGTGCCACTTACCCCAAAGGAAGTACACAGACTGAAAGTAAAAGGATAAAAAATGAAAGACCATGCAAGCAGAGCCTGAAAACAAGCAGGACTGGCTGCCTTATTTTCAGACACAACAAACTTCAAGCTGGAATCTCTCAGAAAAGATAAAGATGGACACTGTGTACTGGCAAAGGGAACAATTCTACAGGAAAAGATAACAACTGTAAATATCTATGCACTGAATGTTGGCATATCCCACCTTATAAAACAAAAACTACTGGGCTTGAAAGGACAGACAGACACCAATACATTCATAGTGGCAGATTTCAATACCCCACCCTCACAATTAGGCCAACCAAACAAAAATCAACAAAGAAGTATCAGTTAAACCACACTATTGAACAAATAGACTTGACAGATACCTACATGGTATTCCACAACAACAAAACACAAATTTTTCCCAACAATGCAGGGAATTTTCTAAAGTAGACCATATCTTAGGCCATAAAGAATAAATACAAATAAATGCAAAAGAATTTAAATAATTCCCTGTACACTATTGTATCATAGACAAATAAAGCAAGAAATCAATAGCAAAAAATGTCACAGACTATGCAAACCCACAGAGATTAAATAATATACTATTGAACAATCAGTGGGTCACAGAAGAAATCAGGGAAGAAATAAAAACATTTAGAATCAAATGAAAATGGAAGTACAATATATTAAAACTTATGGGACAATAAAAGAAGGACATTTATAGCTGTAAGTACACACATAAAAAGAATAGAGTGATCCCAAATAAATAATCTAGTAATGAATTTCCAAGTCTTAGAATAATCCTAATCTGAAACTAATAGAAGGAAATAAACAACAAAAGATCAGAGTAGAAATTAATGAAATTGAGAATAATAAAACTAGCCAGGTGTGGTGGTGCACACCTGTAATCCCTGCACTCGGGAGACTGAGGCAAGAGGACGGCAGTGAGTTCAAGGCCAGCCTGAGCTACATAGCCTGTCTCAAAAAAAGGAGAATAATAAAAAATACAAAGGATCAATGAATCAAAGTTATTTTTTAAAGGATGACAAAGGAATGTGGAGACATGAGGAGGTAGGAGGTGGCAAGGGAAAGTGAAGAAGATCAAGGTGTGATATGTATGCGTACTAATTCCCCCAGGATGAATGTGTTTAGCATGCATGGCAAACACACACTGATAAAAAATTAAGGAAAACTAAGAATATTACATATGTTCATTAAACACTGGCTTCATAGCTTAGGAATTAATTTTTTTTTTTGTACCGGGAATCAAACTCAGGACCTTG